AGATCATTGTCTGCAGAGGAATTACAATAAACATTTAATACGAACTACATACAATTTCATTAAGTTTTATACAAATATATATTCTGGATCAGATACTAGACAAAGCTATTGTTTTAGCACCTTAATTCGTAATTCATTTACTTGAAGAACTTGTCTACCTCTGATCTCAATATGCAGTTTTACAAAATAACATATAAATCTGCTTTAATATAATAAGTGTGTTTTAATTGAATACCACTGTCTCATAGAGACATAGAATGTATTTTAAGAAATGCATTAAGCCTCTTCGAAAATAAGGAATAATATTAAGCGACCGGATTCTTTCTCATTAATTCTAAATCGAAATCCATCATATCTTTTACAAGATCCTGAAATAACATTTATTAAAATGTTAATATTTTATAACTATTTAGATGCGTAAAATAAAATAATCATTAATAAATACCTCAAATGTAACTGTAGGTTTCCAACCTATTTTTTCTTTTGCTTTAGTAGCATCGCCCAGTAAGACATCCTAGATAAATGGAAAAAGTAAGTTTATTACTTATGATGCAAGAAACTGAGGCATACAGTATTTTATAAGATTGATACATACTACTTCTGTTGGACGGAAATACTTAGGATTCACTTTAACCAATACTTGTCCTGTTTGTGCATCCTGCCCTGTCTCATTTACACCTTCACCTTCCCACTTAATTGTGCGACCAACGTACCGAAAACCTGCTTCTACGAATTCCCTAACGCTGTGTGTTTCTCCAGTTGCTATCACATAGTCATCTGGTGTTGGCTGTTGCAACATTAACCACATCGCCTACAAAAGTGTTCGACCAGACTAGTTTAATGTTTTGTTAAATTTATTACACATCAGCAATAATTTAGATACCTGTACTTCTTACCTCAACATAATCTTTCGCGTGACCCCAGTCTCTTTTAGCATCTAAATTTCCCAGTTCAAGAACATCTTGCAAACCCAGTTGTATTTTCGCTATTGATCTAGTCACTTTTCTAGTAACAAAATTCTCTCCTCTACGAGGACTTTCATGATTAAATAATATTCCATTACATGCAAACATGTTATATGCTTCTCTGTAGTTTACAACAATCCAGAAGCTGTATAATTTTGCACAAGCTGAAATATCAAAGCAATTTAGCAACCTTATCCTAAAAGAGTGATATAAGAAAGTACAAAATAATAAGAAACCAAATAATAACCATATGGAGAACGTGGATAAAATGGTGTTTTCTCATTTTGTGGTACTTCCACCACTCTACCATAAAGCTCAGATGTTGATGCATGATAAAACTTTACAGATTTTTCTAAACCACAGGTACGTATTGCATCTAACAATCGAACTGTTCCTACTGCGTCTACTTCAGCTGTGTATTCGCTTACTTCAAAACTTACCTATAAAATGATAATATTACAATACAGAAAAGTAATTAATCATTTGTAAATTTAAAATTTGAAGACAGAGTACATACCATAACATGACTTTGAGCAGCAAGATTATAAATTTCTGTTGGTTGTACAGAGCTAATTACTTTTACTAAACTACTTGAATCTGTCATGTCTCCATAATGTAATTTCATTTTACCCTGCCGATGGCATTTTGGGTCTGCATAAAGATGTTGAATACGAGCTGTGTTAAAAGAACTAGCTCTCCTAATAATTCCATGCACATGATATCCTTTTTCTAATAAAAATTCTGCTAAATAGGAACCATCCTGGAAAAATGCATAAAATGAATAATTTTATTTGTATTTAATGCACGCAAAATCAATGGTATTAAAATTACGTTGTCAACGTGGCAAATTAAACGTGGATAATTTAACACCGAAGAAAGTGAATGAAATACTTCAATAAAATATAAACTGTCAATCTTACTTGTCCGGTAATACCCGTAATTAATGCAACGCGTCTCTCGTTATCAGTTGCCATTTCAATGAATGAAAAAAAGAATTTTTTTTCTTGTATATATTCCCTTGAAACTTATCAGGTCGTTCGAACGTTATAATGCCTGATAAGGTAACACCTTTTACAATTCACTTGTTTATCACACATTCGGGCGTTAACTTGTAACTTCCCACGAACACCTTGCAAATGATGTGCTAGGTCTGCTAGGATAACTAGAATCCCCAAAAAACTTCATTTTAAATTAATTCAAACGAAACAACAAAAGCAAATATAATATTCGATTTATAAATTTTAAATTAATTAATTATATTATTTTATTGTCTTAATAATATTTGTAATCGTCATGTATTTACTTTATTATTGAAACTATAGTGACAGATGTTATTTGCTTATTACAAAGTAAGAACAATTCTGAGCACTTCCATTTATTAGACAAATTTGACAATAAAACAGCTTACTATTAATGCTACATTCTTGTAGAGACGAGTGTTATTCGACCAATCACTTACTTACCATACGTAGGAAGGAAACTGTGTTTATGTGTGTGTAAGAAAGTATTATTTTGCATCGCCATCGTTACCGCAAAGTGTAGTGTCATTCACGGTGAGCGGTTCTCGGTTCGTAATTTGTAAAGAGAAATTGTAAAAAATGGCTCTTTTGAGTGCAAATCCAAATCGATCTTTGCCCGATTATGAAACTGAAGCAGCAAAAATGAAGAGTTTTAGTCCATACGCCGATAATGGAGGGTAAATTTCAAATATAACCTAAATGTTCTTAACGGCAACATAAATTTATAAAAAGTTCAAATACATTACTGTTAAAAGCATATTATTCTAATTTTGATTGTATGTAAGGCAT